AGCGATGCTAGGCTTCATCATCATCATCATCATCATCACAGCCCTTCACAAGTCCACTGCTGAACATAGGCCTCCCCCAAGTAATGCCACAAAGCACGGTCCTGAGCCACCTGCATCCATCGACTTCCTGCATATCTTACCAGGTCGTCACTCCATCTAGTGGGGGGTCGCCCTACACTACGCCTACCGGTCCGAGGCTGCCACTCGAGAACCTTTCTTCCCCATCGGTTATCGGTTCTTCGAGCTATCTGGCCGGCCCATTGCCACTTCAGCTTACTAATCCGTTGGGCTATGTCGGTCAATCTGGTTTTACTGCGGATATCCTCATTTCTGCGTCTATCACGCAGAGAAACTCCGAGCATAGCCCTCTCCATAGCTCGCTGAGCGACCTTGAGCGTCCTCATACGGCCAGCAGTGAAGGACCACGTCTCTGATCCGTAAGTCATCACTGGCAACACGCACTGGTTGTACACTTTAGTTTTCAGAGATTGAGGTATACCTGACGAGAAGATATGTCGTAATTTCCCGAACGCTGCCCAGCCGAGTTGAATCCGTCGATTGACCTCTCGGTCGAAGTTGGACTTACCTAGTCGGAATATTTGTCCCAGGTAAACGTACTCGTCAACAACTTCGAGCATAGTGCTTCCAACAACTACCGGCATAGGTGTGACATGGACATTAAACATAATCTTTGTTTTGTCCATGTTCATCTTAAGACCTATCCGTTGGGAGGCACTATTGAGGTCATTGAGCATAGTGCTTAAGTCCTCCAGCGATTCTGCCATAAGGACTATATCGTCGGCAAATCGAAGGTGAGTGATGTACTCGCCATTGATGTTAATACCGTATCCTTTCCAGTCCAGTAGCTTGAAAACGTCTTCCAAAGCAGCGGTGAAGAGTTTCGGGGATATTACGTCACCCTGTCTTACACCTATCTGCAGTTGGATAGGTTTCGAGCTCTGGTTCTGTAGTCGGATAGCCATCGTAGCCCTACTGTACAAACACTTCAGCACTTCGATATACCGACAGTCAACTTGGCACCGCTGAAGGGACTGCAGCACCGCCCAAATTTCGACGGAATCAAAGGCTTTCTCATAGTCCACATACGCCAGGCAAAGTGGCAAATTGTACTCCTCAGTCTTCTGTACAATCTGCCGCAGGGTATGTATGTGGTCTATGGTACTGAAGCCTTTTCGGAAACCGGCTTGTTCGGGAGGCTGGAAGTCGTCGAGTCTGCGTGCGAGACGATTCGTAATGACTCTCGAAAACAGCACGTAGACGCGGCTCAGAAGGGAAATCGGTCTGTAGTTCTTCAAGAGAGCGTTGTCGCCTTTCTTAAAGAACAAGACCACCGCACTTCTGCTCCACGCCTCTGGACTAGTGCCACCATGGAGGACAGAATTGAAGAGCTTCTGAAGGACTTCAAGTACCGCTGTTCCACCCGCTTTCAGAAGCTCCGCTGTAATTCCATCCTCGCCTGGGGCCCTGCCGTTTTTAAGGTGCTGGAGAGCCATTCCAATCTCGCTTAGACTGACGTCCGGGATATCATCGGAATAGTGTCGGATAAGACTTGCTCTTGGATCGTTACTCACACTTGCGTGTGGCTCCAACGATGATGTGTACAGCTGCCCATAGAACCTCTCAATCTCACTCAAAATCTTAGGTGTCCCGGAAACGATGCTGCCACACTCAGTCTTCAGCCTTGACAGTTGGCTCTTTCTGGCAGACAGATCTCTGGCAAAGACTTTGGAGCCCTGGTTCCGCTTCGATCGCTTCTTTAATACGAGCAGTATTAAAGTTGCGTAAGTCTCGCCGCATGCATTTGGAGATCTGTCTGTTCAGTTGCCTGTATGCTGTCAAATCTGTTGACGATTGCAGCCTCATCTCCCGTCTAACAGCCATGAGATTAAGAGTGTGATCGGAGAGTTTTTGTGTTCTTCTGCGGCGGGTCTTGCAGAACTTAGCTCCGACCGCATGGACAGTTTCCACGAGCTTGTCATTCATATCGTCCACTGCATTGCAATCTTGTAGGCACTGAAAGCGGTTGTGTAACTCGAGCTGAAAGTTTTCGGGATTTTGGATCAGAGCACGAGGGGGGACGGAGCGTTGACTTCATTAGACGAGACCTCTCCAACTTAACGTTTAGGTTCAGTGTGCCTCTAACCATTCGGTGATCGCTGCCAGTTTTCACCCTTGCGATCACTGAGACATCACTGAACAGTTGGCGTCTGGTCGTCATAATGAAGTCAATCTCATTTTTTGTCGAACCGTCGGGGCTCGACCAGGTCCACTTCCTGTGGGGCCGCTTCTGGAAGAAAGAGTTCATCATAAAGAGTCCCTCTTTCTCCATAAAGTCGGCCAGCTGCTGGCCCCTTCGGTTCCGTTGCCCTACTCCAAATTTCCCTAACTTCAGCTCACCGTTTTCTCTTGTGCCTAGTTTTGCGTTGAAGTCTCCCATCAACACAGTGTAGTGGGTTTTGGAGGAATGTATGGCTTTGGAAATATCCTCATACATTTCCTCCACCTCCTCATCGGAATGTGCCGACGTTGGTGCGTAAACCTGTATGACCTTCAGCGAATACCGTTTGGTGATTCTGAGTATCAGGTACGCGACCCTCGTCGACACACTCTCAATCTGTACAACGTTGTTGACGAGAGACTTGTGGACGATAAATCCGACACCTCCTTGGGACAGATGGTCGCCCCTCCCGGTGATAGAACAAGTTGCCGGATTCGAGAATCACCGTGTCCTCCCCCTCTCTTCGGACCTCGGATAATCCTATAATACTCCAGCGCAACTTGTCTATCTCTTCTTCCAGCTCCAGGATCTTCTCGTCAGTCCTCAGTGTGCGTGCGTTAAATGTTGCCAGGTCGAGTCGTCGTAGGTGGCAACCGAACCTCCACCGGAGATTCTTAGCACCCCCTGCTAGGCTTAAACTATCATAATTAGTCATAAGTTCATATGGATAAACGCCTTTCCATTTTAAACGAAAGAAATCTTCATAGTTAGGGTAATTTCTACGTAATTCTTGAAATTGATCATTACTGAGATTTTTGGCCTATTCTTCTAATTTACATGTTAAAAACTTAAATGAATCTATGAATATAATTTCGTGGTTATTCATTTTTAATTTTTGGAAAGGGATATATATTTTTCTTTATTTTGAGGGATAATTTCGACTTCACCATCACAAAAGTTTAACGCGTGAACAATAAAATGAGCATCATAGTGACTAAGGTTGTGTAAAAATATTGGTATATAACGAGGTGTCCTGAACTTTGAGCTACATGATTCATGAGCAACACCTATAAAACTACCGGTGTACCAATCAAAGTCATAAAAATATTCTGCTAACTCTGTTTCACATATATGACAAATGGTTGCATTTGAAATTTGGTTTTTTTCTTCATTTGTTAGCGGAAGTGGAGGATATTTTTGAAGTCTATTTATTTCTTTTTAGATTGTTAGATAAACTTTCCGTAAACACTTGTGCACTAATATAACTTATTGAATACTCAGCTCAAAGACCTAAAGCCATGCGTAGTATCCTCTTAGTCTTAGTAGTCTATGCCAAAGCCCAAACCATAGACTTCTACCACGACCCAAACAAAAACAAAAACAAATTGTTGGAAATATATAAACTTTAAACTTTTGGTACATAATTAAAATTAATGAACACTATAAATGTTTTTGAATAGTAAGCATGTACCCGTGGAACTGCTGCAGAACTTGCCTCAACGAGCAATTTCTACATCCAATATTCGCACTTCCCGAGCAAAGTGATAAATATTCTAAATTGATACAATTAACTACTGGTGTAAAAGGTAAAAATAAATGTCATTCCTTATTATTAGAATAGACCACGAATAGATTGTCGTATTGCTTTCTTACAAAAGTACTTATCCAACGTAATTTTTAATTGACCTGAAAAACATAGTTAAAATGATCAGGATATATATCATAATTCATGATATTTTGCTGTTTTACATGCCCTACACGGTATAACATAAAAAAATGTTATTGCTGTTATAGCTTTTTTATTTAAAAAAGATAACGTATATAAAACAATTATTTTTAGCCATACAAATACTTGTTTTATGCTTGATTCAAATCCGCGGCCCCAACGCTGATACTCAAGCCACTGTGGTGTGAAGTCGTGAAAGCTAGAGCTATTAAAAACTGTTAAGGATTTTCTGCATATAATAACTATCACTTTTTTTAAAAACTTGGAAATTCTATTAATACCACTAATACTAGAGGAGTTTATGTATTATAACAATTAAGACCATCAAAAAAACTGCAGCTGTCACCTGCCTGCCAAATGTGACTACTATATCAAAAAATAAAAATCTGCACCATTTCAATGGAGACTAGTCATCTGCCCAAGTATATTCACAAGTGTGCTCTCTATTCCCTCTTCTCTTGTCTTCTCTACCCAATGACATGAAAATCTGACACAACCTAAGAGAGATCAGATGCAAGACCAATGGCTTTACATACTTTCCGAGGCGCGAGGGATGAAATACTGCCATCTTCCTCACTTCAGACTTCTATTAAAAATATATGACTTTTTTTGGTCCGAAACATGATTTGAACCCGGTTCTGCATCATCTGCATGTTCATAATGATCTGCAGCCAGCACTAGACTACTAGACCAATGAAGCAGTGAGTGTAGAGAAAAGGATACCCTTTTTACTGGAAATGAGGCATTCCATCTTAGTCATTAGGGGTGGCATCGCATCTGCATTTTGATTTTTAATCCAGAATAGATGTTGATGTTTATGGGCCACAGCATCCACTTACTCCAAACATCCACTTACACAGGTGGGCTGTGTGCTCATTTGTTACTCATATTCTATTACATAGCTGGCAACACACCTGCAATTGCCATGGTGTTGTGATTGTTCATGGGAGATGGTGCTTCTGTTAAATAAATTATTAAATGAAATATAATGATTTCAATTTTTAGGTTGAAGTAAACGACACACTTCCACAAGAAATGTGCTCTACATGCATTGCATTTATAAATGAGTCAATTAAATTTCGTAAACGCTGTGAAGATGCTCAGAAATCTTTATTAGATCACAAGATTCATGATATTAAGTCTGAAACACCATACATTTTAAAAATAGAATATGAAAAGGCAACGACAATAGATATATCTGAATTTTTACCACCTGATGATGACTTTAAAGATTATGATGATAACATTACACTAGATAACTTGCAGTACAGTAATTGTGAAATTTCTGAACACAAAATCTGTAATATGCCGGATGAACCATTGCAAAAAGAATTTGAACCTAGAATGTTAGATATAATCGAAAACCCAGAAAAAATAGTTTTTAACAATAAAACAAATAAAAAAGACAATGTTAAAATTAAACCTAGGAGAACAGTAAAGAATAAAATTGAGAACCGAGAAAAGGAGAAAGAGTCAAAGAAAGCAAAGGCTGAAAGAGTGAAAGAGGAGATTGAATGTGAATATTGTCATAAAATATTAACATCAAGGTTGTCATTACGTAACCATTACAAGATACACACAGGTTTTGATGTAGTTTGCGAGGTAAGCATATATTTTGTTTATTTCCTATTCTATAAAACTAGTATCTAGTCAAAAAGGTCAATTTCATTTAGTTGGTTAATTTTTATGCAAAAATTATGTATGTTCACTTTATTTTAATTGCCTTAATGGCAACCTATACATGTGATTTACATATATCTATGACAGTAAAAATACTGTGAAAATAATATGTTTCATTTCTCTTCATTTATAATAAATAGTAAAAAATATGACACTTTCGGATGTTTACTTAATAATTAATTAACACTTAAATGAAAGTTTTTTGTACCCCAATGAATACAATTCAATGTGACAATGGTGGGGCATAGTCTTAAATATGTCATGGGTTCAATTCTAAGCTGGGGATAGTATTTAGTGCAAATAAAAGTTTTTAGGAGACATACCTAGAATCGCTTAAATTCATTTCACAATGGCCATTTGGCTTTAGATCTAGACATAATATATTGTGACACTTCACAACATGACTAACAGTATGGACAAAAAAATTGTTCTGTGTATGTTCATTGACCTAAAAAGCCCTTTTGTACCATAAATCATGAACCATTGCTAAAACAATTTGAAATATTTGGTATTTATGGCAATGTTCTTTGAATAATTACATCCTACCTTACTAGCAGACAGCTAGTTGTACTGAAAATTGATAAATATTAAAGTACACTATTTCCAATGCATCATGGCATTTCACAAGGATGCATAGTGGGTCATTTGTTGTATTTAAATTATAACAGACTAGCCACACGCCCCTGTTTCTCCCGGGTTTGATACATTAATGTGATTTAGTTTAGATTTCAGATAATCATTGTAGGCCGTTCATTTTATCAATTTATTGTTTCTACAAAATGTATCTAAGTTATAACCATTTTTTACTGGAAACGTGGCATTCCATCTTAGTCCTCACGGATGACAATGCATCTGCATTTGGATTCATAATTGAGGATAGATGTAGATGTCTATGGGCTACAGCAACCACTTACCATCAGGTGGACTGTGTGCTCACTTGTCACCCTATCCTATAAAAAAATAGGTTTACCACTATATCACTTTGAATGCAGATGATATAGGCTCAATTTGTTTTGGATCAATGATCAATGTCGCTATTACCATCTTATTATATGTGGTAGAGTCACATTACAGCTGTATTATGTGGCAAGAATGGGTCGACTTGATCGGGAAAGACCCACCCTTTCACAGAATACAAAAATAAAATAGCAGCTTAATACTGCTGTGTATTGTATGATGAGTGTAAAGTGAGTGAAAACTAGAGACCCTTTTTATTGGAAACAAGGCATGCCATCTTAGTCACCAGGGGTGACAATGCAACTGCATTTTAATTCTTATCATGGATAAATGTAGGTGACCTGTCCAACATTCCAACACGAATTCAAACCAAATGGTTTGCTACATTGTTCGTCATGCGTACAGCAAAGGAAGGAATAAGTAGCCAGCATCTGCCTTTCCATCCAATCACTGGTGGGTGTCTTTAAGGCAAGAGTAGATAGGTTTTTTTTAAGTCAGTGCATTTCACCATCTTAGGCTACATCACCACTTGCCATCAGGTGGGATCGTCGTTAAATGCTGGCTAAGAATAGTAAAAAAAAAGTTTCTACTGGCTGAAGAAGAATTTAAATCTATGATATCATGATTCCTTAAATCTCCTCTTATCACGTCTACCAAACAATATTTCCCCGCCATAATAATGTCCTCCAGACCGAATTTCGGACACGGTGGCCTGCCTCAACGGAGGCTAACCATCGGCGTAGGACAAGATTATAGTGCCCAAGTGTATGCACAAGCACAGCTGCACTTTCTATTCCCTCACTCTCACAAACCGACATGACCGGAGGAAGATCAGGTGCAGGACCAACGGCTTTACATGCTTTTCGAGGTACGGGGGTGATACACCGCCAACTTCCTGACTCCGGGAAGCTACTGAGAATTTCTTGACAAAAAAACTCAATAATAGATTTTTGTGCTGACCCGGGATACAAACTCAAGACCTTACGATCAGCAGTCGCACTACTACAACCACCAGACCAACGAGGCAGTCAAGTCTGTCCGTCATAATAATACTGTGACTGCGGGCAGGTAATAGCGTCTATGTGAAGGACGTTTGTTGGTTTGCCTGCAAAGATGACGATTACTGTTATTTGATCCTCCTAGCTGTTAGAGAGGCCATGGTTGATAAAAAATATTAAATAGATAAATTGTTATGTGGTAGAGTAACAGTGCAGCTATATTATGGTTGTAGCATGAGTGAACTGTCCCAACGGGGGAAGTACCAGCTCACAGAATACCTGCATAATATAGCAGCTTAATTCTGCTGTGTTGCTTTCGGTGAGTGTAGAGAACCGAGTAAGAGCCGTGGTAGCTCAGATGGTTAGCGCTCGCTGTAAATTTCACAGTACGCGAGCAAACCGCGTTCGATCCCCGCCGGTCGCCAATGAAATTGTTAATTCCAATTTTAAGTGCTGATTTACCACGTGCTCGGCGGTGATGGAAAACATCGTGAGGAAACCTGCATGTCTCAGAAATAAGAAAAATAATTCGAAGACATGTGAAGTTCGAACACGCATTGGGGCAGCGTGGTGGACACTTCCTTGCCCTAAAACCCTCTCAGAAATGTGGGGAGGCCTGTGCCCAGCAGTGGGACGTATATAGGCTGTAACTCTACTTTAATTTAGAGAACCGGCGATCTTTTTCACTGAAAACCAAGCATTCTAACTTAGTACTCAAGGGTGACAATATAAGCATGATTGACCTACATGAAAATGCATTTTAATTCTTAATCGAGTATATATAGATGTAGATGTCTATGGACCACAGCATTCACTTACCATCAGCTTAAATGTGTGCTTATTTGTCACCATGATTCTAAAAAAAGAATAACTTAACACTACTACCTAACCTCACACACTGTTCCAGCACTGTGGTAAAAAATTTATTACCCGTCGCCTCCTGTTGATGCACTGTCGCGCGAAGCACGGCTACGAGAAAACAGACAAGTGTTCCTACTGCGACTACAGGGCTTCTAATGCTGAGCAGGTGAAGGTAGGTTTATATGTGTAGTGTTGATGCACTGTCGCGCGAAGCACGGCTACGAGAAAACTGACAAGTGTTCCTACTGCGACTACAGGGCTTATAATGCTGAGCAGGTGAAGGTAGGTTTATATGTGTAGTGTTGATGCACTGTCGCGCGAAGCACGGCTACGAGAAAACTGACAAGTGTTCCTACTGCGACTACAGGGCTTCTAATGCTGAGCAGGTGAACGTAGGTTTATATGTGTAGTGTTGATGCACTGTCGCGCGAAGCACGGCTACGAGAAAACTGACAAGTGTTCCTACTGCAACTACAGGGCTTCTAATGCTGAGCAGGTGAAGGTAGGTTTATATGTGGTAGTGTTGATGCACTGTCGCGCGAAGCACGGCTACGAGAAAACTGACAAGTGTTCCTACTGCGACTACAGGGCTTCTAATGCTGAGCAGGTGAAGGTAGGTTTATATGTGTAGTCTTGATGCACTGTCGCGCGAAGCACGGCTACGAGAAAACTGACAAGTGTTCCTACTGCGACTACAGGGCTTCTAATGCTGAGCAGGTGAAGGTAGGTTTATATGTGGTAGTGTTGATGCACTGTCGCGCGAAGCACGGCTACGAGAAAACAGACAAGTGTTCCTACTGCGACTACAGGGCTTCTAATGCTGAGCAGGTGAACGTAGGTTTATATGTGTAGTGTTGATGCACTGTCGCGCGAAGCACGGCTACGAGAAAACTGACAAGTGTTCCTACTGCGACTACAGGGCTTCTAATGCTGAGCAGGTGAAGGTAGGTTTATATGTGGTAGTGTTGATGCACTGTCGCGCGAAGCACGGCTACGAGAAAACTGACAAGTGTTCCTACTGCGACTACAGGGCTTCTAATGCTGAGCAGGTGAAGGTAGGTTTATATGTGTAGTGTTGATGCACTGTCGCGCGAAGCACGGCTACGAGAAAACTGACAAGTGTTCCTACTGCGACTACAGGGCTTATAATGCTGAGCAGGTGAAGGTAGGTTTATATGTGTAGTGTTGATGCACTGTCGCGCGAAGCACGGCTACGAGAAAACTGACAAGTGTTCCTACTGCGACTACAGGGCTTATAATGCTGAGCAGGTGAACGTAGGTTTATATGTGTAGTGTTGATGCACTGTCGCGCGAAGCACGGCTACGAGAAAACTGACAAGTGTTCCTACTGCGACTACAGGGCTTCTAATGCTGAGCAGGTGAAGGTAGGTTTATATGTGGTAGTGTTGATGCACTGTCGCGCGAAGCACGGCTACGAGAAAACTGACAAGTGTTCCTACTGCGACTACAGGGCTTCTAATGCTGAGCAGGTGAAGGTAGGTTTATATGTGTAGTGTTGATGCACTGTCGCGCGAAGCACGGCTACGAGAAAACTGACAAGTGTTCCTACTGCGACTACAGGGCTTATAATGCTGAGCAGGTGAAGGTAGGTTTATATGTGGTAGTGTTGATGCACTGTCGCGCGAAGCACGGCTACGAGAAAACTGACAAGTGTTCCTACTGCGACTACAGGGCTTCTAATGCTGAGCAGGTGAAGGTAGGTTTATATGTGGTAGTGTTGATGCACTGTCGCGCGAAGCACGGCTACGAGAAAACTGACAAGTGTTCCTACTGCGACTACAGGGCTTCTAATGCTGAGCAGGTGAAGGTAGGTTTATATGTGGTAGTGTTGATGCACTGTCGCGCGAAGCACGGCTACGAGAAAACTGACAAGTGTTCCTACTGCGACTACAGGGCTTCTAATGCTGAGCAGGTGAAGGTAGGTTTATATGTGTAGTGTTGATGCACTGTCGCGCGAAGCACGGCTACGAGAAAACTGACAAGTGTTCCTACTGCGACTACAGGGCTTCTAATGCTGAGCAGGTGAAGGTAGGTTTATATGTGTAGTGTTGATGCACTGTCGCGCGAAGCACGGCTACGAGAAAACTGACAAGTGTTCCTACTGCGACTACAGGGCTTATAATGCTGAGCAGGTGAAGGTGGGTTTGTATGTGGTAGAGCCATGCTACTGGTTGTAGCCTTGAATGGATCGGCTCAACTGGGAATAGACCACTCTTTCACAGAATGTCAGCTTAATGATGATGTGCTTCTTATGGTGAGTGTAGCAAACCGGTTTTACTGGAGATAAGGCATTCCATCGTAGTGCTCAGGGGTTGCAATGCATCTGCATTTTGATTCTTTCTTAAGAATATATGTAGATGTCTATAGGCCACAGCATGCACTTACCATCACGTGGACTGTGTGCTCCTTTGTCACCCTTATTCTATAAAAAAGTTGTTATGGATTCCATACAAAATTTGACTTCAACCAAGTTTAAAAACTTTAATACGTGGTAGAGCCATGCTGCAATTATATTAGTTGTATAGTTATAGCACGAATGGGTCGGCTCGACCGGGGAAGGACCACGCTCTCACACAATACCAGCGTGAAATAGCAGCTTAATGCTGCTGTGTTTCGTATGGTGAGTGTGGAGACCGGAGACCCTTTTTACTGGAAACGAGGCATTCCATATTAGTCCTCACGTGTGACAACGCATCTACATTTTGATTCGTAATCGAGGATAGATGTAGATGTTTATGGGTCACAGCAACCACTTATAATCAGGTGGACTGTGTGTTCGCTTGTCACCCTATCCTATAAAAAAAGTAAAAGATTATTTAAGAAGGGTTATATTAATATGAAGAAATTTATAGATAACAAGCGATTCCGCCCCCGGCCATGATTTCCACGTACCAGGTCCAATTGTGAACCTAAACCATCCAAAGACCCACTCAAACCATCAAAATCGTTTGAACCGTTTTCGAGTTTTAGCAAGACTCATCATCATCACCATCACAGCCCTTCACAAGACCACTGCTGACATTATCCTCCACCAAGGAATGCCACAAAGCACGGTCCTGAGCCACCTGCATCTATCAACTTCCTGCATGTCTTACCAGGCCGTCACTCCATTTAGCGGGGGGTCGCCCTACACTATGCCTACCGGTACGAAGCTGCGTCTCGAGAAATTTTTTCCCCATCGGTTGTCGGTTCTCCGAGCTATATGGCCGGCCCATTGCCACTTCAGCTTACTAATTTTTACTTAGCAAGACTTAACGCACTACAATAGATTTTTTATTATTTTGTAGCTTTAATGACTATAATCTGTTCTAGAAAACAGCAAATCCGCGTTGGTATAATCATTTTATAACACTGCACAGCATTCATCAGTCTAAATGAGGGCTGGGTTTCTACTCAATCGCAATCAGCAAACCAATCTGGCAATACCTGTCCACAGATCCATGAACGCCTGCATACGGGCGAGAAACCCTACGTTTGCAAAGAGTGTGGTGCTGGATTCCATCGGAAGAGTAGCTATCTCCAGCATATCGCCATACACCTTCCCGAGAAAACAGTGCAGGTAATTTTTTTAAACTAAATATTTTTTGATTTTTTCAAAAGTAACCCCTCCCGAGGATTTTCTCCTGTATCCTATGATCTCTATAGACAAGTGAGCAGGATTTTGTGACCCGTTATCATCCCTGAGGACTAAGATGGAATGCCACGTATTCAGTAAAAAGTCCTCTACACTCACCATACGAAACACGGCAGCATTAAGCTGCTATTTCACGCCGGTTTTCTCTGAGGGCGTGGTCCTTCCCCGGTCTAGTCGACCCATTCGTGCTGCAACCACAATATAGCTGCAGTATCTATGGCTCTACAAACATTCAGACCTGGAACGAATATTTGTAGACAATGTTTAGAGTATGTTGTCAGTAAAGAGTCTCCGGTCTACAATCACCATATGAAACACGGTAGCATTAAACTGCAACTTTACGCTGGTATTATGTGAGAGCGTGGTCCTGCCCCAGTTGAGCTGACCCGTTCGTGTTACAACTATACTAATAATAATAATGTACTCCAGACCGAATTTCGGCCATGGCGGCCTGCCTCAACGGAGGCTAGCCATCGGCGCAGGACAGGATTATAGTACCCAAGTGTATGCGCAAGCACAGGTGCACTCTCTATTCCCTCACGCTCATAATCCGATGGGACGGTAAACCGACACGACCGGAGAGAGATCAGGCGCAGGACCAACGGCTTTACGTGCTTTCAGAGGCACGGGGGTGAGACACCGCCAACTTCCTGACTCCGGGCAGCTACTGAGAATTTCTTGACGGAAAACTCAATAAATATTTTTTGGCCCGACCCGGGAATCGAACCCAGGACCTCATGATCAGCAGTCGCACTACTACTACATATATGTAGTGTTGATATAAGACTCTCCACTAGCCCATATCGTCGGGAATCTTAAACAGGGCAGTAGCATCTTCCTGATTACTACCTGCTTGCTCATGAGGCAAGCTATCAAGGAAACCTGTGTTCGAAAACTTTCACATACTGTTATGGACGCATGAGGAATATGTCAGCAAGGTATGTCGCGATATTCACACTTGTTACTTTAGTTCAAATGTTGACATATGTATAGTTCAATTGAATATTTGTTATGCTGCTTGTGTAAGTAAAATAAAATTCAATAGTTGAAATAATTATAATTTACACAAGTTACAAGTCTTTTACAACACACAGAAGGAGAATAGAGTGATAGTTATATATAGAAAGATAGCACAGGAACTAAGAGTATCAAGTGAAGGAATTAATTATAATAACAGTTCGTTATCACGAGTAAACAGTCAACAAACGAACAGTATGGCATACGTAATCGTACTGGTGGCGCGGCGCGAATTATTGTTGAGTCGCGCTTGCACCGACCGCTGCATTAAACAATAGCCACTGCTAATACTTGGTATATATAATAATTTCTGTAGAATGGTATGTCCGTAATTGTGAGATATACAATATGTAACGTAATTAACGCACATCCTCAGACACCCCAATTAGTATATTATGTAATATCATAATACATACACTGAATTTTTAGTTAAACATTTTTATGCACTGATTATTTATCAAATTAGTTATATTAATTCCGGAAGAATGTTGTGGTCACAGTACAAATCCACGAACGCAAAGACTTTAACGTGCTTGAAATAAAGTACATTTTTCTTTATTTTTATTGAAAGACACAATTAGTAATAATACAAATAAAACTGCACTCTTAAAACTCTTATTGCCTTAAGTTAAGGTCCATTTCAGTTTGTTTTAGCTGTACAGATTTAGTGTGACTGTAATTTACGTAGTTTTAATTATTTTTGGGATAAAAAATTACCTATATTAAAAATGTTAGAAATCGATTCAGTAAACGATTCTGAACAAACTACTTTCTCAAAGTGCGTTAATTATGTTACGTGTTGCATATTTATATAGAAATAATTTAAAATTAAATATTACAATTAACTATTTTACTGCTAGTTATGAAGTAGTTTATATGAACGTTTACAATATTTTGCACACCACATCTGCGATAGATGTAGTAGAGCCTGATTAAACGTGGTAGAGCCACGCTGCGGCTTTTTTTTGGTTGTAGGACGAATGGGTCGGCTCGACCGGCCTAAGACCACGCCCTCACAGAATTCCAGCGTAAAATATTAGCTTAACGCTGCTATGTTTCCTATGGTAAGTGAAGAGAAGCGGAGGCCCTTTCTACTGAAAATGATACATTCTTAGTTTTCATGGGTGATAACGTATTTGCATTTTGATTTTTAATCGAGGCTAGATTTGGATGTCTATGGCCACAGCATCTTACATCGGGTGAACTGTGCTCGTTGGTCACTCTTCTATGAAATGTACTGATGTGCTTGTATTCTGGGTTGCAGTGTACCCAATGCCCGGCTCGCTTCAAATCTGCGACTCTGATGCGGATCCACGCGAGTCGCCACCGAGCCGCCCGGTACTCGTTCAAATGCCGCGTGTGCGACGGAAGTTTCGCGAGGCGGCGCAACGTTGCGCGACACTTACAGAGGGTGCACGCTTTACAACCCCAGCAGGAGCACATCGAGCGTCTAGTCTTGACCTGAACGTAAATATTGTTTACTTTTAAGATAATTAATATGATCGGGTTAAATGTCAAGATCGTGCTAAATGGAAGTCTGTAGGCCCTGCTTACCCCTTTGGGTGACAGGTGTGAGTGTTTATGTTTATTATGTATAATCATATGTTACTATACGGCAATCCACTATGTTAAAGACGTTAAAAAATAATTTGCTAATATGCGCGTAAAACAAAATGATGTCTTACCTATTTTGGTCTGTGTTTCGAAATAGAACCCAGTATACTGGCCAATGCAAATGGCGTCGTAAATCGACGTCATACTAGTAATTCAATTCAAAACATTGGTAGGTATATGACGTCATACATTTGCGCCATATTGCAATCGTACACCGTAATTTGGCTCTGTCAAACATTAATTGAAATAAAAATTAACATCATTTGGTACAAATAGTTTATTTTTAGGTTAAGTTGTATGCAAAATGCTCTTGAGCACTTCCTCAGTAACAAAGAATGACTAACTGTGATTTCTGATTCTCTTCATCGTACAGATTTAACTGTTTAAGCACTACCATTTTTTGTATTTGAATAAATAAAAACAAATTCTGGCATGTTTAATTCAGCGAACACACAATTAAAAATTTGTTTTAATTTGGCGGGATATCCGACACAATATGGCGGCGGTACGCCAGTACAATATGGCGTCAATTAATGACGTCATTTGCATTCGCAGTATACTCAGTTCTATTTCGGAACACAGGCTTGAAAAGCATTTCCCGCCCTTCCTTAATTGTAAGACACATCATTTCACGACGTGGCTATTAGCTAATTACTTATATAAAATAGCTA